AAGATAACGATTGTTAAACAAAATGTACTGGACATCTTTCGATTTCTTTCTATGTTCTCAATTTTGAAGTAGTATATGTGAGGCAGCGTGGTGGAATCAGGCTCTCGTCAATTTTTGGGCATGTAGAGTTATTGGTATCATCTTAAAGCTTGTTCACTTGTCTTTATTTGGTTGAAAAAAAATCCATTTATTTTTAATACAAGTCGAGATATTTGTGAATGAAGAATGTGGGGGCCACCTGTTTTCAGAGGTAAAATTAGTGATAAAATGGCCGCCAAAGATTAGTTATTTTCTTAAGTTAAGGGTCCGTGGTAACTGAAAATTTACAATTTTTGTGCGTTTAATCAACGTTTTTCAGAAAAATCCACACAGAAATGAGTTCTTTAATGGGCATGAAAGGTGTTGAGCAAAATAACACAAAAATTTGGTAAAAATTAACAAAACTGCGGATAAATGCAAGTTTGTATACTTTGATTATTTTGACGAGAGCATGATTCCACCACGCTGCCGCACATATTATTCTAATCTTCTTTTTTCTTTTTTAAAAGGTATTCCTACTTCTGCATCTTTAATTTTTTTAACGGCACTTCTCGAAATGTGGCTTTAAAAAACCACCACTAGAACCAATAATTTTCCATATTACATAAACTGTGTTTTAATATTGTATAAACAGGCGGAGAATAGGGCACATTGAGTACGGCAATTAATTACAAGAGACTATCGCTATCCAAATTTTCAAAACGCCCGTTAATTTTTAGTACTTGCATATTAAACTGAAGCCTAAGCCTCTTTCGTACGAAACTATAATTTTTTCATCAAATGTTTCCCCATGTGAAATCTGTATTGTACTCCGCTTCTATTCAGGTATTTTATAAAATGATATAACCACTGAATCTAGAAGAAATGAATGATTAAAACTGAAAAAAAAAATGCAGTTTGATTATAAATAACAAGGATTGACAAGAGCTTGGTAGATTGTTGTTTTGAGTGTAAACAGTTAAGTGATAGCCGATCAAAATACGAGTGAAAGTGAGAAACTCTTTAGATATTGGTAGTGAGTAATATGAGACTGGTATTTTGTTTTGTAAGATTTTGTTTTGCTTTGTTTTGGAGTTTTGCTGTTTGTGTGTGCGTACGCACGCGTTTCTCTCTCTCTCTCTCTCTCTCTCTCTCTCTCTCTCTCTCTCTCTCTCTCTCTCTCTCTCCCTGTGTGTGTGTGTGTGTGTGTGTGTGTGTGTGTGTGTGTGTGTGTGTGTGTGTATGTGTGTGTGTGTATTTTTTGGTATTTTATTTTTTATTTCTTTTTTTCTGAGGGGGGTAAATCTAAAGTGACAAATAATGAAGTGAAATCAACTCTCTATTCCTGTTCAAGAAGGAAAACAATCTCCTCTGTTCATTCCAGTAACCCATTCTAGGGCTAGTTTTCTTATGTTCTAGATTACTGTACCTTGCCCTATTACATACAGACTTCAAAATTAAGTTAAGGACGACTTGCAAACACTCTGACTCTCTATGAGTGGTCTTCTTGAGTCGACCTGCACGTGGGCGTTCTTGGAATGATCCAGTGGCTTGATGGCGCTGCCTCAAATGAACAATGACAGAGTGTAACACTGCAAGCCTTCTAGCAACTTCCCTGGCTCCAACTCCATGCTGCAGCCTGCCATAGCTCTAGCATGATCAAAGTCTCTCAGCTTTCGTCTTTGTGGCATGTTGATGCGATACTGGATTTTGCGCAAACGGCGGCTTATATTGCCACCAAAGTGAGCACAGTTCGAGGCCATACGTCCGTTTATCACGTGCACCAAAAAATTTTAACTGAGGAATGTCTGTCGTGTCGCACACAAGTCCATAAAAAACAGCAAATTTGGCTAAAATCCCGGAGGATTTCCGTGTGGCACGTGGCGGTTTTGCCACTCTAGAAAGCTTTTCAGTACGCCCTGGTTACCCATTAACACTTTCAGAGCATACAATTTAGAAACATTCCTTGCTGTCTTTTTTTTCGGATTTTAAAAAAATTATGGCTGTCTGTCAAGGTGGTCCTTAACTTATGTTGAAGTCTATATTATTAAACCTAAAGATAGATAAATAAAGCAGAGCGATTTTAATATATAGGTGTTTTCATCGACACAAATTAAATAATTCATTAGAGGAGTTTCGACCTAATCTAGGACAAAAAGTGATACTCCTTGCAGCAGAAGGACCGAGATGCTTGATAAAAGTTCTTGCTGCTCATGAATCGAACTCACATCTTTCGCACGCGATGGTGAAGCGCCTTGTTTCTTAACCACAGGTTCTCACCCTCTCAACCCCTCTACCTTGCCATATCAACCAAAATCACAGATTAGCGAAACCAAAACCAACAGAATACATTCTTTATTTACTTATTTATTATTTCTTTTTAATCACTGGGTTGTTTGCATGAAAAACTGAAGAATGTTGTCATTTTCCTGGTGTTTTTTCAAAAGTGTTGAATCGGTGCATAATTAATTATGCCTCTCGTCGTTTTCTCACGGTTAAAAGGTCACACCAGTGCTTGTAAATCATTTTATAATCAGCGCCCACTTATGTTAAAATTAATTTGACCTACCAACAACCTTATTAGTATTTTTCTAAACGGAGCATTAGATAACGCCTATCAATGCTTAGGTGACCCCACCACTCCCCAAAATTACTAGATCACCCACTAGCTGGCAATATCGCTCTGACTGGCAGGCACTTGCTTGCAGTTATGGAATCATCACAATTTAAAATACTTTGTTTTACAAGAGGAAATGTTATAATAAAGTTGTTATTCTAGGTTGAAGACAAGTGAAAAATATAATTTGTTTAAAGTGTCTTTACCGATGCCACAACGTCGGGCCCCAATGGAATTTTCAACCCACGATCGTTCAACAACAAAACTGTATTTTTAAGACCACTGATGCCACACCAACAGTAAAGAAAAGGATCCAGAAAAGAATACAGATAAAACAGTTGCGTCACATTCTACCTCGTCTATGCAGTGCTAACTAAGTAAATATACAAATCATCAACTGGCTGGTATCTTTTCTTTCACATCCTTCCCTGCTGCTCTCTAACCATGCTCTGTCGTCTGCTTTATCTCCATTTTCTATCTCCATTTTCTGCTCGCTCGCCACCCACCCCCCCTTTCCCCTGTGTCCTCTCCACTAGGCCCCTGACTCTTTCTTCGCAGCCTTTTCACTGCTACACCTTGGCTCCTTCCTACACCTTCCTTTCAGCCACGCCACTGATCTTCTGGTAGGTACGATCTACACCTAGCATTCTCGGATAAGGGCAAAAAAATCTTTGAGGCACCGTGTGCAAGTCCCTTGGTGGTCTTAAAATCGAAAAGAGTAGGCCTCGGCCTCCACTGGCGCAAAATTATAATTTCTACCAAACTGAAATTAATGTTGAATGTGTCCCGCATACTCATTTTATGACCTGTTGCAAACGCCTTTACTTAAAAAGCCAAAGAAAAACATCCCAAACAAACCCTGGTATTCAGGAATACATCATAAAGTTCTAATGCCAACAACGGAAGCTACGTACGTTCATGCTGACGAGCCCAAATAAGGAGGAAGTCATCTTCATCGTTGATGTTCAAGTGTGGACGTCAACTGTGTTGTTG